ATTTCACTTTGCCTGATGCATCCGATTTTTTTGGCACGATCCAGATGGGTGAATTGTATGGTGACCGTGAAGGTCTAATTATACCTTGATCGAGGAGTTCCTTTATCTGTTTTTCTACTTCTCCTTTCAAATGCATAGGGTAGGGATAAAATTTTGAATAAACTGGTTCGACATTGGTAGTCTGAATATCGGCGACTACTGTCGTAGTGTAAGTAAGTTTTTGATTTGGTTCCCCAAAGAGTGATTTATGCCTTTGGATCACTAGATCTAATTTTTGTTTCTCTTGTGGGGTTAAATGGTCTGTCCTAAGGTCGATAGTGTTCACAGATCTAGATAATTTCTGCTTTATTTTCACTTTTATTCTATTGTCTATAAGCATGTAGTCTTTTGACGTATAAATGACAGCAGATAATTTTTTTAAGCTATCGTTTCCTAAAATTCCGTCAAAAGATTTAAGGGTTGGTAAAAGGAAGAATTGTAGAGGGCAACAATTTTTGTCAAAAAGATTAATAAAAGTGTGTTGTGTTATTGCTGTTTTTCCTCCTACTGAGTTTGCAAAAAACGGGGTTTTATTTTCTAAAGGATTTTTTATAAGTCCAGGTTGGATATAGTTTTTATTTGAGCCCGTATCAATCAAGATTTTAAGAATTTGCCCTGAATTCGTCCTACATTCAAAATAAGGTAAGGACGAATTCGTTAGTCTAAAAAATGAATATCTACGAATTCTTGTGTATCTTCTTTGTCATCGTTGTCAAGAACATCATATTGATTTTTTATGTAATCATTGAGATCAGATAATTGTTCTTGATTTTCATACTGCTCTAACATTGTTTCGTATTCTTCAGCGGTGGGACCTAATTCATCTGTGTCTACATGAAAATTTCTTTGTGCCTTATCAGGTCTCCTAAATTGGTCAGAATGTTCTGATGGTCTCTTTCCATAAAATCTATTATTTTGTGCTGGCCTATTCATGTAGTTAACAGCTCGGGATTGCATGGAAGCATCTATTTCCATCGGCTCAGGCTTGGGCTGAGGTTTTGGTGCTGTTGGTCTTGGTGGTTGCAAATTTTGATTTTGGGGGTAATTATGTTGATTATAATTATTACGAGGATAAATAGGAGGATTAGAATTATTTTGTCGAACACCAGAGTGTTGTGGCAAATATGCCAATTGTGGGTAAAATGGCATCTGATTCGTATTTTGAAAATGAGTTTTTGGATGGGGTGGTTTCTGAAAATTTAGTCTATTATTTTTAACTGTTGGATTGTGTGAGTTAGCAAATTGTGCTCTAGCGAATTGATTTTCCATTTTGAGACATAATTGTAGTGCTTGTGGGAGATCCGTCGGTTCTTTCATGCCAAGATGAATTGACATTTGTCCTTTTAGTCCTCTTATGAAAATGTCTAAAGCTTTATCCCTATAAGTTTGGGCTAGGATATCTAGAGCTTCTTTACCTACATCGAGACATGACAATTTGTTCATAATAAGCGTAAGGTGTGAATACACTTCTTGGTAAAAATCTTGGATACTGTTGTTACCTTGTATTAAGGTTGTCATTTGATATTCTAGTGTCGTAAGATCACGCTTATCTGCGTAGTGAAGCGTTAGACACTTTGAAATACTACTCCAATTAAGGGGTGTATTGTAAGACTCTAAGGCCGCATCGGCATTACCGATGATTTTATTCCTTATGGTGTTAAGGATGGCAAAGTATTTTGGGGTACCTTTTGTAGATTCGTATAACTTAAGGATCCTTTCGACACTCTTTTTCCAAGAGCTGAATTCCGATGCTTTTCCTGAAAATTCTCTCAAGCTTCTCACTACGTCGGGTACTTTATCTAAATCTGTCAAGTTTTCTCTATATCTGACGTCGATAGTTTCGTCTTCGCCTGCTATGTCTGAACTAGGTCTTAAAAATTGGGCTATGGCAATTTGGCATTGCTGTGCACAGATTCTGGCAATGGTTTGTTCCATGTTTGCTGAATTTATTGCGCTATTATTGTTATTATTATTCTGTCCGTTATTATTTTGTCCGTCGGAGTTATTGACGTTAAGGATGGGTGGTCGGATAAGGTTATTGGGGTTGGACATTTTAAACGATCACTATTTAGTTGTTAACCTTTTAGAACACAAATTATATTTTTACAATTTTGTTTTGTTTTAACTTTTCAGAATTAATAATAGGAAAATTGTTTTATCAATGTTTTTAGTTTTTGGGTTTTTTTTTTTTTTTTTTTTTTTTTTTTTTTTTTTTTTTTTTTTTTTTTAAACGCTATCACTTTTTATCTCTAAATTTACAATACAACTTTATAGAGCATGCTGTCTGTTTTGTTTTAACTTTTCAAAATTAATAATAGGGAATTTGTTTTTATCAATGTTTTTAGTTTTTTTTCTTCACTTAAACACTATCACTTTTCTTTCTAAACTTACAATAAAACTTTGTAGAGCATGCCGTCTCCTGTTGATTCTCCGTATTCCTTTTTGCTTCTGCTACTAAGGGGGTGTCTTCAATCTTTTGAGCCGGCTGGATGTCGTTGACTCTCTCGTACTCCACAAGTTTTTCCCACAGCCTTTGGGGATTTAGTGTTGATTTACAGCCTTTATAGGGTGTCTTCTTCAACAGGTTATTGATGTTTTTAGTTACCAGTACGCAGCTTTATGAGGTGCCTTCTTCCACAGGTTTTGATGTTTTTAGTTAGCAGTTTGCAGCTTATGAGGTGCCTTTATTAATTTGCAGCCGTTTGGGTGCTTTAATTTTTAGTTGACAGTTTGCAGCTTCATGAGGTGCCTTTATTAACTTTGCAGCCGTTTGGGTGCTTTTAATTTTTCGTTGGGCGCCAATTAAACATAACGTTCTTTTTCGAGTGACAAAATGGGACTGACTTTATTTTTCCTTTATTCTTAAAATTAAGTTTTGTTGGACAATGTATTTAGTGCAACGTTAGCACTTTTGATTTTATTATTTCTTAGAGTTAGGTTTCTTAAAATGTAAGCATTTATCTGTTGTTTATACGAATGAATGACATGAATGCATTGTAAGCATTTTGCAAGCATATTTAAGTGCCATCGAACTTGCACGCGCAACAGAAACAGAAATAAAGAAGTTAACCTTAACTTATATCTTCATCCGATTTCGTGTTAATTGTGCACTAAATGGTCAATATCAGCCCAAATCACCTGAATTTTCGTACATAAGACCGAATTCAGTCTAGAAGCTAATACGTCAAATTTGGAGAAACCCGGTTCAGAGATAGCTATAGTTCGTAAAATGCACGATAGAATTAGATAGATTTTGATTTTGTACCAAATATCTCATAGAGCTCTGAAATGCCCTGTATAAACCTTTTTACGAAAGCTCTACTAAATATGCATAGTGGTGTAGGGTATCATATAGTCGGCCCCGCCCGACTTTTGAGCTTTCCTTACTGGTTCTAATCACATAAGATCGAAAGTCTTCTTAAATCGAATAATTCTTGCTGTTTCGATTACAAAATTCCAGACAATTACGTTAAGAAATAAGAAATTAATCATAAAATTAACTTTACAAACTTCAGAATGTAATATCTCTCTATCTCACATTTTATGTTCCTGGAAGCTATATACATATGTACCTAAATACATAGGTGAATGAATTTGTTATGTTTGATTTGTTTTGTTTTGTTTACTGAATAAAACGTTTTTTTGTAACTCTAAAAAAATATAAAAAAGTACCATTTTATTTAAAAAAGTACCTTTTTAGTACCTTTTGAAATTTTTGATTTTCCATCCCTGGTCCACGTTTTCGTATTGACCCCATATGACGGTACCCCTCCCCCCACCGAGTATTTTCACGATTTTAGCGACATAATTCACCGGACATGTAAAAAATTTCGTATTTAAAGTTCGTAATGGGTACTACAGCCTATGACAAAAATTTTCGTATGCAGGTTCAAGTTTTCGTATATCCCACATATAATTGTACCTCCCGATATTCGATATTTTAATGATTTTAGCGACATTATTCTCTGGAACTGTTTCCAATTTCGTAGTTGAAATTCGTAATGGATATTACAGCATATGACAAAAAATTTCGTACGCAACGATTTTCAATTGAGTAGTATTTTTCAAATTTTTTGTTTTTTTAATTTAAAAATTTTCAAGTTTCTTGCAAATGATGGAGGGTATTTAAAGTTCGGCCCGTCCGAACTTACTGCTTTTTTACTTGTTTTACGTTCAGTTTTGTATATTTTCGCATTTATTTCATATATTCATCAAAAATACACTTTCAATTTAGTCAGTCGAAATAACGGAATTTTTTTCCAGTTTCGTATTAGAATATTGTAATGCCTTATGACAAAGCTTGCCTCTGCAGGTCCATGTCTTTCTATAGACACCAATATCGCGGTACAACAACTTATTCGATATTCTTATGATTTGTAACAGTAATTCCCAAGGTTTTTTTTTAATTTATAAATTTTTTTCAAATGGTGTAGGGTATTTACAATTTTCTGCTTTTTACTTGTTTTACGATCAGTTTTGTATATTTTGCCATTTATTTCATATAAATTTAGGGGAATCTTATTTAACTCGACTTCGAGTAACTGCTCTCGTTTCTTTTTCATTTTCGATCACCTTAGAAATAACTGAACATTTCGAATGAATTTTAAAACCTGAAGAAATTTTAAGTAAGCGATATACAGCTGTCGACAAAACCGTCTGATTACTTCTATCTATCTTCATGGAAATTAACTAGCTTAAAGTTTAAATTATCATTTAAACTAGAGATGAAATTTCCATTTAAAAGATTCGTATTAATTTTTTTCTTTTTTTATTTACAGATGTGTTCCTAAGTTTGTGAAGTAAGAGTAAGAGACGCGTCTCTTAGATGAGTAAGACACGCATATATAGATACAATATTTATAAAACGAATTCTAATTTTCCTAAATTTTGTGGCAACTTTGTTGCGTTGATAAAACTAATAATGGTGTAGGATGTCCTTAGTAGTATGTAGAGATTTTCAATTTCGATCTAACAAAATTTATTTAAATCAGACATTTCTTTAAATTTATCTAAAGTGACACTTTAAACAGTTCCTGGAGCAGGTTGCAGATTAACTGAGGCCACAGATTGGGCATGACCAGCCAATGGGGCAACATGTACAGCACCACGGGTCTTGGCAACGAAAGTACCACTATGAGCTGGAACTACAGCAGGAGCGGCAACAACATGTGGAGCGGCAACTACATGAGGGGCAGCAACTACAACAGGAACTGGTCCGGAGACCACTTGAACAGGTCCAGGGCCAGCAACAACATGAGGTGGGTGGGCAGCTACTGTAACGGCAGCATGGGGATGAGCTCCAAGTACTACAGTACCGGGTAGGGGTCCACCCACAACAACTGGTCCCCAGGGCAGAACTGAGGAGTTGGCACCCAAAGCCAAGGCAAGCAAGACTACAGCAATGACGAACTGGAAAAGAAAACGGAAAACGATGATTAAATTCTATTAGTACATAACTAGCTTTGAAGGCAATATCTGATATTGATTTTTTAATTTGTTTGTTTTAATTTGAATTACTGATTTGAAATCCACAGATTATCATATTTAAAAAAAACCGTAGTTTGTGTCCCGCTTTTTCGAATAGATTTGTATGTTTATCTCAATTTACGTTTTTTTACAGCGGATTTTTTTTTTTGTATTACTTTTTCATTTTGAAATGCTTATATTTTTTTTTTTGGGAGATATGATTCTTTGCGTTCTTTGAAGTCAGCAAATAATTTCAAAATATCAATTTTTTTGAAATCTTACAAGAACTCTCAACACATATTCAATGTAACACTATTTATAATTATATTTGTATATGTCCTTTCACACAAATTTAACTATAAAAAATCCTTTTATCCTTTTTATAATATGTCACTAAAGTTCTCACCTTCATGTTTGCTAAGTTTTGTTCTATTGTTCTATGTAAAACGTTAGAAATAACTACTGACATCGCAATGTAACACTAACCTTTTATAGCAAAACAATTTCTGTCCCAGCATATAAAAAATTATCATAAATATATCTTTACACTTTTTTTGTTCTATTTTCAATTATTGTTATTATCTAACTTTTACCCCTCGGACACTCCTTCACATAGATAACACAACGTTAATGCATTTCATTATGTCCAGCATTTACTTAAATAAACCAATCCAGAATTTATTCAATTTAAACAACTTCAATGTCAACCTACACCAACCTCAATGACAACACCTGAGACATTTTTACATCATTACAAGCTGCAGTTTAATGATCAACCCAATTCACACTTGTGAGCAAAGCCAGTCAACTCAAAGAAGCAACATTTACATTTGCATATTACATACATTTATATATTTAACTTGTAACAAACATCCTTGTTAAGTACGAGTTAGACATAACATTGAAGTCCCGGTCAAATACCAACCTTAAAGAAAACTGCAATCTTTTCAAGTTAATCGACATTTTTCTACCTATTGGAGGGATTCTAGATACCAATACATATGAACCTATAAATTTTACGGTAATGATAGTAGTCTCAATAACACTTTTGTGTATTTCCTTTTTTACTTTTAGCCTAGTAACATATAAATAGACAACATTTAATTTTGGGTCAAATTCTGTCACACATTTCAAACTTCATTGAAATTTTATGTGCATAGCGTATTTGGTACATTAAATACACGAAATCGGACGAAAAATGTGTTTAGGATCTATATCAAAATCTGAACCGATTTCAATATAATATTACGAATTTGTTTCCAATTTTCATTGAAATTTTAAAATATATAGCGTGTTTGGTGCATCAAATATACGAAATCGGACGAAAATATATGTGGAAACATAGAACAGTGTTGGCTTGTTTGTTCGGGATACCGTAGTATTTTGTTGTTGCAAAACGGTCAGGCTTTATCACTTTATTGTTGTTATATCCTCCACCATAGTATGGAGGGTATATTAAGTTTGTCATTCCGTTTGTAACACCTCGAAATATACATTTTATACCACACAAAGTATATATATTATAGATCAGTATAAAATTCTATGTCGATTCATCAATGTCCGTCCGTCTGTCCGTCTGTGAAAATCACTCTAGCTTCCGAACGAAATGAAGTAGGTTGATAAAATTTTACTCAAATGTGTACTATGTCTGCAGGACTTTTGGTATTGAAAGTGGGCCATATAGGTCCAAGTCTTCGTATAGCTCCCATATAGCGGTACCTCCCGATATGCGGTATTTTGATGATTCTACCGACATTTTTACCGGAATTGCTTCAAAATTTGGTATTTGAAGTTCATAATAGATACTACAGCATAAGACAGAAAATTGTCTGTGCATGTCCACGTCTTCGTATAGTCCCATATAACGGTACCTCCCGATTATTTGATGATTTTAGCGACATTGGTTTGGGCCAAATTCTGCCACACATTCTAAACTTCTCTGAAATTTGGTACATCAAATACACAAAAAATGTGTATAGGATCTATATCAAAATCTGAACCAATTTCAATATAATTTTAAGAATTCCACATTTAATCGAAATTTGAGATATATATTGGTGCATCAAATATATAAAATCGACAGAAAATATGTCTGTTTAGAGCTACATCCAAACCTCACCCATTCTCAATATAACTTGCCAAATTTACTTTTGTACCAAATTCCGTCATTCGTTTCGTATTTCATTGGCATCGGAGGAACATATGCTGTTTGGTGCATCAAATATTTGAAATCGGCCGAAAAATATATATGAGAGCTATATCCAAATCTGAATCGATTTCAATATAATATGGCGAATTTATTTTTGTACCAAATTTCGTCGCTTATTCCGAATTTCATACATGTCGTAGTTGGTGCATCAAATATTTGAAATTAGCCGAAAATGCATATGGGAGCTTCATCTAAATTTGAACTGATTTTAATATAATTTGGCAAATATATTTTCTGATCAAATCTCGTCACTCATTCCAAGCTTCATTGGAATCGGACATATAAATCGTGTTTGGTGCATCAAATAAACCAAATCGGTCGAAAATAAAGATATGAGCTACATGCAAATCTGAACCGATTTCAATATAAATTGGGAAATCTATATTGTGATCAAATCCCGTCAATCATTCCAAATTTAATTGGAATAAAGCTTACATATCATGTTTGGTGCATCAAATAAACGAAATCGGCAATTTTTGTTTGTAATGGGTTCCATCTTCGGTTACAGAACATTGGTTATATAGGTGCTGGTTTTCGATTGCCCCCATATAACGGTACCTTCGGATATTGGGTATTTTGATGATTTTAGCCACATTTTTCCACAGATTTGTCTAAAATTGATATTTGTAGTTCGTAATGAGTTCTAGCTCCGGTGGCAGAACATTGAATATCCTATGGCGCACATATAACAGTACCTTCGGATATTGCATATTTTGACGATTGAACCCCAATTTTCTAATAGATTTTTGTGAAATTGTGTATTTGTAGTTCAAACATTTGTCATATTGGTTAACGGATTTTTTTTCATTTGCCCACGAAATTATGTCAAATTTGGTATATAAGACTCGCAATGGATTACTCACGTTTTGTTATGGCCCCATACAACGTTTCCAACCACTATATATATTTTTTTATACCCTGCACCATACATAGTAAGTTCGTCATTTGTAACTCCTCGAAATAATAATTTTAGACCCAACGATTTAGGCCTGTTTGTCTGTCTGTTGTAATCACGCTACAGTCAAAACGAATTAAGATAGGAAGCTAAAATTTTGTACAGATCTGTCTTTTGTCTGCAAGCAGGTCAATTTCGAAGATGGGCTATATCGGTCCACGATAGCTCCCATATAACGGTACCCCCCGATATTCGGTATTTTGATGATTTTAGCCACATTTTTCAATGGAATTTTCTGTAATTCCACACATGGAGTTCATTATGAGTACTTTACTCCCTGAAAGAGATTTAACCATATAGGTCCACAATGTCGTATATCCCCCATATAACGGTACACCCCCACCCATACTATTCGGTATTTTGATTTTAGCCACACTTTCCAATGGAATTGTCTGTAATTCCACACATGTAGTTCATTGTGAGTACTATACCCCCTGAAAGAGAATTATCTATATAGGTCAACAATATCGTGCATCCCCCATATAACGGCAACCCTCACAAAAATTTAGATTTTGTATGCATATATTATTGATCGATTACAGATACAGTCTCCAAATTTGGAATGCAGAACGGAATTTAGAAAAAAAATAATTTTGACAAATTATATTGAAATCGGTTCAGATTTAGTTATAGCTCTCATATGTATTTTCGACCGATTTCGTTCATTTGATGCCTCAAACACGATATGAATGTTTTTTTTTTTTTTTTTTTTTTTTTGAAAACTCTTAATGCATTCTCCCACCGATCTGACTGGAGATTGGAGTTTAAAGTGAAACTTTTGAATCCAGATACTTTTGCATAAAAATATTTTCATAACAGTGTTGGCATGTTTTTTTTTCAGGATACCGTAGTATTTTGTTGTTGCAAAATAGTTAAGCGTAATCACATTATTGTTGTTTTTATAAAAACAAGGTTTGTGTAATAGTGAAGAATGATGGTAATGTTTACCAGGGGGTAGGTAGGGAATACCTAGGTTTCGGAAAGAGCCACCAATCCTCATCAGTTCCCTTGTTTTGTTTTTTTTTTTTTGGTCTGGAATATTCTCCCCAGGAGTTATTTTAAAAATGACTACTACAACAAAAAGCTTTTTTTACCCAAATGACGAGATGGTAAGCTCTATAAAAAAGAAAGAAATAAAGAATTAAATTAAACTAAACTTCTTCTGGAAAATCTTCTAAATCTTACTACCGCACTTATAAACATTTTCATCTCTCTCCACTTGTTTTGCTTTCGTTTTACATGAACGAAATAGCATAACCATATAAGTTGGTTTTGTCTGCAATAATATTTTGCAACAATAAAAATATATTCTTTACCAAATGGTGGAGGGTATTAGAAGTTCGGGTTGGCTGAATTTAGCTTTAGCTTAAATTCGGACTTTTCCATTTACAGAAGATCAAATTTCCATTAAAAAGATTCGTTTTATTTTTTCTTTTTTATTTACATTCTTCTTTCTAAGTTTTTGAAATATAATGAAAATAGAAAAGGAAAGGAAATTGTGACTTAGATACGATTAACAGACTGCAATTAAGGTGAAATAGAAGCTTAAAAGGTGATAGTAATGCATGTATAATTTAATTTTAATTTTTTGTGGCAACTTTGTTGCTTTTATAAAACTATTTATGGTGTAGGATGTCCTTAAAGATGTGTATAGATGATCAAATCTGGAATTTCTTTAAATTTATCTAAAATGAGACTTTAAACAGTTCCTGGAGCAGGTTGCAAGTTAACTGAGGCCACAGATTGGGCATGACCAGCCAATGGGGCAACATGTACAGCACCACGGGTCTTGGCAACAAAAGTACCACTATGAGCAGGAACTACAGCAGGAGCGGCAACAACATGTGGGGCGGCAACTACATGAGGGGCAGCAACTACAGCAGGAACGGGACCGGAGACCACTTGAACAGGTCCAGGGCCAGCAACCACATGAGGTGGGTGAGCAGCTACTGTGACAGCAGCATGGGGATGAGATCCAAGTACTACAGTACCAGGAAGAGGACCACCCACGACGACTGGTTCCCAGGGCAAAACTGAGGAGTTGGCACCCAAAGCCAAGGCAAGCAAGACTACGGCAATGACGAACTGGAAATATAACGGATAAATAATGTTAAATAATATTTGGATGTTAAATAAATAAATATTTTCAAGATATCTGTAATTTATTTCAATTTCGAAACAATAATTTTATATTTAAAATAAGATTAATTTACATCTTCTTTATGAAACACTGCCTCCTGGATCTTACGGTTTTTTTTGCATAAACCATTACATATTTAGGGACGTATTCGTTTTTTAGATGTGTCCCAACAGATTTACACATTTTCCATTGTTTTCAATTCAATTTGTATTCATTCATATGATTTTTTTTAAAGCGAACACAATTCTTAATTCCGTTTAAGGTCCTTTTCGTCTTTAACGTGACATAAATGTCACCTGGTAATAATTTATCATTGACATATTTCTATTCGTAAATCGATTTTTTATTTTAATTTGAAAATATAATATTCACTGTTATTTGTTTTTTTTTCACCAATATCCATAAAAAAAATCTTTGACTGTTATTTCTTTAATCCTCACCTTCATGTTTGTTACAATTTGTTCTATTGCTATTTGTTTGATGTTAGAAATAACTCTACTGACATCTTAACGTCGAATCGACCTTTTATAGCAAAACCTTTCCATTCCCTGCATATAAAAATATCGTAAATTTATCTATAAACCTCTTTTGTTGTATTATATATACTTTTATTAATTATCTTTCTTTACCCCTCGACCACTCCCCCACATGGGCAACATGCAGCCAATGCATTTCATTATGTCCAGCATTTCTGTGAATAATAAATCCCAGAAATGATTTCAACAACTTCAATGTCAACCTGCACCAACCCCAACAAACACCTGAGCTATTTTTCATCACTACAAATGATTGTTGTCGATCAGACCAAATCATATGTAAATTTAAAGAGACAAAGTGTACATACATAAATAACTAGCAAATGCCCACCACTTCTTGGACAAAATGTCTATATGAAAAGAATGGCGGATATTAATTGATTCAAAATTTAAATGCTCTCAAACTACCAAATTTTGGACTTCACTAACACTCATATTTCACTCATAATATTATCTCTTTTAGAACAGCGAAATTTCCAGATTGTAGATAGGAAATTTCTCACGCTTTAATAGTACAATATTAAGTGCCGTTTATTACGAAGTTGTAAAAACTCCTCCACATCTCATATTTTTTTCAAACAGTGTGAAATATCAGTACTTCAACTCTAAATTAACAGAGTTTTGGATACGAAACTAAATTGGTTGATATTAATTGATTTTTGGTATAGCCCAGTTATACCCAGGTTGAAATTATCCTATAAAATGGTTATCTACCCCAAAAGTAATATAAGTACAAATTCTTAGCCAAATCGATTCATTTTGGTCAAGAACCTCGAAATAGTAAAGTCACAGAGAATGTTTATAAGGATCCTACTCCGAAACATGGGCATACATTGAACATTATCTGCGAATGAGCCAAATCAATTAAAATATGTTGCCAAAAACGCAAAGTTGGGGCTATTTTAATATTTTTTTCTTATTTTACTCTACTAAGATATCAAATAACGAAAATATCCCGAAATTTGTATGAAACATTGGTATCTGGGTGCACCCTTATATTGGGTCAGCTCCACTTGACCATGACTCCAAAATTGTCGCACAGTGTTATTAATGAACAAGTAAAAACAGATACGAAGACCTGTAATTTTCTGTCATTGGATAACGTTGAAAAATACTGTAAAAAATAATAAAAATACCGAATATAGGGAGATACCGTAATATTAAGGTCTATACGAAGACCTGGACCTGTAAAGACAATTATCTGTCCCAGGCTCGTTCGGAATCGTTAAATCGACATAGCATTTTATGCTGATCAAGAATATACAGGGTGAGATGAAAAAACTGCAATCAACTTCAGACTGCTGTCATTTCATTATATTGTTTACAAGCGTACAAAATCATTTTGGTGATAATTTTCCAGAAAAAAAGTTATTCGCGATGGAAATCAAGTGTGATTTCTTTATAATTGGCTGGAAAACCACAAGTGGCTATCGTTAGAGTACTCCAGCATTTAAAAGTGAATAAATCTTTTGTGTCTCGTACCATCGCTCGTTACCGTGATACTGGTAGAGAAGCCCGACGTCAAGGAAGTGGACGGAAGAAAACAGCAACATCAGCAGATATGGATCGAAAATAAATTAGCGACTTGATCGAAACTCGCGTAGCAGAGGCCGAAAATGGCACGCGAGCTGAACATATCACAATATTCCGTTAGGAAAATATTGAAAAATGAGCTCGGGGTAAAGCCGTTAAAAATCCAAAAAGTGCAAGAACTTACACCGCAACAGAAATAAAATGGACTCAAAAGAGCTTAAGAGTTGCTTCGCTTGGCCGAAATTGGTGAACTGCCGAATTTGGTTTTTTTCCCATGAGAAAACATTCGTTGTCCAGCAGTTTGTAAACAAACAAAATTATCGTCTTTACTTGCCAAAGAGGCCAGCTGAAAATGTGCACCTTCGGTTGGCCATCAGAACTCAAGCGCCGGCCTTGGTGATGGTGTGGGCCGCCATAACAGCCGATGGTCGCTCTCCGCTCGTATTGATCGACCGTGGCATCAGAATACATGCCGAATATTATCGCGAAAATATTCTGGAGCCTTGGGCACGCAACCATTTTGGCCGCAGACCTTGGACATTCCAAAAGGACTCAGCACGCGCCACCCAAGAATGGTTAAAAATGAGGTTCCTCGCTTCATTTCCAGCGCTCAAAGGCCACCAATATTTCCGGTTACCAATCCGTTGGACAATAGTGTCTGGAGTATTTTGGAAAGCAAGATTGACACTAAAAAATATCAAAGTGTCGATCACCTCAAGCAAGCGCTTCGCCGGGAATGGCCATGGGCAGAGAAACATTCGGGCAGCGTGTGTCGGTTTCATTGTCAATTTGAAGGCCATAATTCGTGCGAAAGTTGACCAATTCGAACAAAGCTAAACTTATTCTAAAATTTGATGCTATTTCCGACAGTTCTTGCTTTTATTCAATAAAATTTCAAAGAAAAATGTACAAATTATGTCGTTTGACTTTGTTGCAGTTTTTTTTCCACCCTATATATGCTCAAACTCCTTTAATTTGGGCATATATTAGGGATTTGGTGCAAAATAGACGTGAAATCGAGCTATATCCAAATATGGTTCGATTACCACTACTTTCAATAGGGTTCGTCCTTGGGCCAACCAAAATAGCGATGCAGAATGTCAAATACTTCCCGTTTTTCGAACAGGTGTGTTTGTAAGCTCGCTAAGGCTGCATGGAATTGTCTGGTACTCGGTATGTGGATTTAGTAATAGATACCAATTTATCTGGCAGAACATTGACCGCATATGTCCACGTTTTCGTATATAAATATTCGGTATTTGACGTTTCTAATCACTGTTACCTATCAAATTATCCGAACTATTTTTTTTTTGAAGTATGTTACGGAAACCAATGCCTCCGGTAGGTATTTGGTTTAATTACTTCTTAGGATACTTATGAGACAAGAAATGAAAGTAGATCCATTGTGTGTGTGAAAGATTAAGATGATATAATGTCCGCATTCATAATCCTGGCAAAGAGGATATCAAAAGTGATTGCTATCTCAGTTGTTATTATATTTGAATTTTTGTACTTATTGCTCTAAGTTAAGCTTATATATTGGCTTCCAGCTATATTCATGTCATGGGGTCTTACGAAAGTAAAATTCAATAATCCTAATTTAACACCCTTCTAAAGACTCCGCATTGTAATGTACTTAAATTATCATCTAAAATAACATATCTGTGGCATTCTTTTATACCATCCAATATACATAGTATGGAGGGTATATTAAGTTCGTCATTCCGTTTGTAATTCATCGAAATAATCATTTTAGACCCAACAAAGTATATATATTCTTGATCAGTATAAAATTCTATGTCGATTTATCAATGTCCGTCCGTCTGTCCGTCTGTTGTAATCACGCTACAGTCCAAACGAATTAAGATAGGAAGCTAAAAGTTTGCACAGATCTCTCTTTTGTCTGCAGGCAGGACAAGTTGGAAGATGGGCTATATCGGTTCACGATATCGTATATCGCCCATATAACGGTATCTCCTGATATTCGGAATTTTGACGATAGTAGCCAGATTTTTCAATGGAAGTGTCTGAAATTCCACAAAAGGAGTCCCTTGTGAGTATTTTACCCTCTGAAATAGAATTGTCTATATAGGTCCACGATATCGTATATCCCCCATATAACGGTACCCCCAATATTCGGTATTTTGATAACTTTACCCACATTTTTCAACGGAATTGTCAGAAAATCTACACAAGGAGTTCCAGTACCCTCGATATTCGGTATTTTGATGATTTTAGCCACATTTTCCAACGGAAATTGTACACAAGGGGTTTTTTGTGAGCACTTTACCCCCGGACAGAGAATTCTTTACATAGGCTAATGATATCGTATTGCATCCATATAACGGTACCCCCGATATTCGGTATTTTGATGATTTTGGCCACATTTTCAAATCGTATTGTCTGAAAATCCACACAAGGAGTTCTTTGTGAGCACTTTACCCTCTGAATGGAATTTTCTATATAGTTCCGTAATATCGTATATCCCCCATATAACGAAAACCCCCGATATTCAGTAGTTTGATGATTTTAGCCACTTTTTCCAATGGAATTATCTGAAAATCCACACAAGGAGTTCCTTGTGAATACTTAACACCCAGACATAGATTTGTCTTAAAAGTCCACAATATCATATTGTAAAGATTTAAAATAAAATTTAATGGATTTTATTTTTTTAAAAATTTTCTAATTCGTTGCAAATGGCGGAGGGTATTCAAAGTTCGGCCCGGCCGAACTTACTGCTTTTTTACTTGTTAGACCTAACAACGTGTATATATTCTTGATCAAATTATACAAATTATAATAGGAAGCTAAGATCTGGCATAGATCAGTCTTTTGTCTGCAGGCAAGTCAAACTCGAAGATGGGCTACATCGGTCCACGATATCGTATATCGCCCATATAACGGTACCTCCTGATATTCGGAATTTTGACGATAGTAGCCAGATTTTTTAATGGAAATGTCCGAAAATCCAAACAGGGAGTTCCTTCTGAGTACCTTACCCTTTGGAAGAGAATTATCTATACAGATCCACGTCTTCATTTAGCCTCCATACAACGGTACCCCCGATATTCGGTATTTTGACGATTTAAACGACATTTCACCGGAATTGTTTCAAATTTTGCATTGAAAGTTCATAACGGGTACTACAGCATATGACAAAAAATTGCGTAGGCAGGTCCACGTCTTCATATTTCCCTCGTATAACGATACCTAATTATATTCGGTATTTTTTTTATTTTAGGCACATTATTCTCTTTGTTTCAAATTTCGTATTTGAAGTTCGCAATCGTTGGGAAATTTGTCAAGTTCCTTCAAAATGGTGGAGGGTATTAAAAATTCGGGCCGACCGAACTTAGCGATTTGTTTTTACTTGTAATTATACCATATTATATATAGTCTCATTCTTATACCTTCTTCTACCATAGTATGGAGGGTATATTAAGTTTGTCATTCCGTTTGTAACACCTCAGAATATACATTTTACACCCCACAAAGTATACATATTCGTGATCAGTAAAATTTTTATGCCGATTTAGCGATATCGGTCCGTCTGTGAAAATCATTCTAGCTTTCGAACGAAATGAAGTAGGTTGATAAAAATTTTACTCAAATGAACATTATGTCTGCAGGACTTTTGGTATTGAAAATGGGTCATGTAGGTCCACGTTTTGGTATAGTATCAAATTTTGTATTTGAAGTTCGTAGTTGATATTACAGCCTACCAGGGAAATGGTATGTGCACGTCCATGTCTTCGTATAGTCCCCATATAATAGTACCTCCTGATATTCGGTATTTTGATGATTTAGACGACATTTTACCGAAATTGTTTCAAATTTGGTTTTTGAATTTCGTAATGGTTATCACAGCCTAAAACAGAAAAGTACAGCCTATGGGAGGACATTGTCTGTGCTGGTCCACGTCTTCGTTTAGCCCCCGTATAATGGTACCTACCTATATTCGGTTTTTGTATGATTTTAGCTACATTATTTACCGAATTTTTTATTTTTCAAGTTTTGCATTTGAATATTGTAATGGCCTATGACAAAAGTTGCCTATGCAGGTGCACGTCGTCGTATAGACCCTAATATGACGGCTATCTTCGGTATTTGTAAGATTTTAACAGAATTTTTAACGGATTTTTTTTTTTTTTTTTTTTTGAAAATTGCCAAATTCGTTCCAAATGGTGGAGGTTATTCAAAGTTCGGCCCGGCCGAACTTGCTTGATTTAAATTCCAATGTTATTTTTGTTTTATAACTTACCGGAAAGAATATTTCCATTAAAAATACATATTTTTGTTTTTTTTATATTTATTTACAGACATATTTTTAAGATCCTGAAAAGTGCATCAAAGTGAAGAATAGAAAAAGTGAATAGTGACTTAGATAGAAGTAGCAGACTGTATTGGGGGAACATGTTCGAATGATATATGTATATGATAGGAAATGGGCAATGAAGGTGAAATGGAAGAGTAATACGTTATAGCAAATAAATCATATTTAGGTGGAGTAGTAATACAAAGAATTTTGTCGTAACTTCGTTGCTTTAATAAAACTAATAATGGTGTACGATGTCCTTCGTGGTATGTATAGATTTCCAAACTTGGTTGTAACAACATTAATCTAAATCAGGTATTTCTTATAATTTATCTAAAGTGGAAGTTTAAACTGTTCCTGGGGCAGGTTGCAGATTAACTGAGGCCACAGATTGGGCATGACCAGCCAATGGGGCAACATGTACAGCACCGCGAGTCTTAGCAACGAAAGTACCACCATGAGCTGGAACTACAGCAGGAGCGGCAACAACATGAGGGGCAGCAACTACAGCAGGAACGGGGCCGGAGACCACTTGAACAGGTCCAGGGCCAGCAACAACATGAGGTGGATGGGCAGCTACTGTAACAGCGGCGGGGGGATGAGCTCCAAGTACTACAGTACCAGGAAGAGGACCACCCACGACAACTGGTCCCCAGGGCAAAACTGAGGAGTTGGCACCCAAAGCCAAAGCAAGCAGGACTACGGCAATAACGATCTGGAAAACAAAACAGAAAACGTTAATAAAATATTATTTTCATGTTAAGTAAATAAGTATTTGCAAGATGTCAGTAATTAATTTCGAAACAGAAATTTTAAATATCAAATACGATGAATTTATATCTTATATATGAAACAATCTTTCCATGATCTAAAAGTTTTCGTGTATACACTATTTCACATGAAAAGGACTCATTCGTTTTTTGAGTTTATATCCAAATGTTCCAACAGATTTTGTTTTAATTTGAGAAATTTGTATAAATCCCTCTTTATACGTATTTGAAATAATGGATTTATAAATTTGTCACATTCTAGTCATAGTTTTCAAATCATTTTGTATTTGTTGATATGATTTGTTTCCTAAGGCGGACACATTTCTCAATTCCGTTTTAAGTTTTTTTCATCGTAAACGTGTTGTAAATGTCACTTGGTAATTTCTTTATGGCACTTAATACCCTTGACATATTTCCATTCGAAAATCTATATTATTTATTTAATTTGACATTTTCACAAATATTAATAAATAAATCTTTTTTTTTTGTTATTTCTCCAATCCTCACCTTCATGTTTGCTACGTTTTGTTGTATTGTTATTGGTTTAATGTTAGAAATAGCTCTACTGAAATCTCAACATAGAGCTGACCTTTTATAGTAAAACCATGCCGTCCCCAGCATATATGTATATTTATCTATCTATAAACCTCTTTTGTTATATTTTCAATTATTGTTGTAATTATCTAACTTTTACCTCCCTCACACTCCCCACACATATATAGAATACCGGCAATGCATTTCATTATATCCAGCATTCATTTAAATAAACAATTCCAGAACTTATTTCAACAATTTCAATGTCAACCTACACTAATCTCCATTAACACCTGAGCTATTTTTACATGGTTACAAGTTAATGGCTATTAAACAAAACCAACGGTCTCAAAGGAAAAGCCAACAATCTCTAAGAAAAAGAATTAACACATTTATACAAGTGAATGTAGAGCAAATTGCTAGCCATGTCTACCCCGCCAAAAATCGTGGATACGGAATGTTACAAAAAGTCATTAATGAGGACGTCCATTTCGCCCCTTATGTGATGTTAGGGAGTTCAATTCATTTGTCATATATCTTTACTTATAAGGAAACGAAATAGATTTTCTATTTTCTTTTTTTTATGATGATCACAATAAAATATGACCCTGTTTTGAAAAACCCTTATTGTAAACCAGTATGAAAGGTCAAAAGTGGGGCGGCGCCAACTATATAATACCCCACACCACTATGTGTATTTGGTAGAGCTCCCGTAACAAAAATAGTTTGTACTGGGAATTTATCTGAAGTATTGCATGTTTATATTAAAAACAAGTAAGCAACGGCTATAGCCGTGCGAGGCCGACCATGTGATACCCTTCAACATTACAATATGTTGGGAGCCTCTTATGTCTAAATTAATTTATATTGAACTAATGTCATAGAGGCCTGCCCAGTTGTTACCCTTATCTACGCATTCCGCCGTGTTGTTATGTATTCGAAAAAAAATAACAAAAGCCATGGTCCATTTTACAGCTAAGTATAATCCAATGGTCATCCAATATGCTCGACTTCTTTCCTTTTTTTTTTTTTTTTTTGGTCCATTTTGACGTCTGTATTTAAATCTCCATAACAGTAGGCTTTAATTCTCACCCTAACGCTACCCCATGGAAAATTTCGTGAAAAAATTTGAAAATTTACTTTCAACACATAGTGCTGGGGGTGTAGAAATAATTATATAATAAATAATAATTTACAATTCAAAATTGTAAGTCAAATTGAAAAAAATCGCATGCGATAAAAAATATGACAAAAATTTAAAAGAAATTAACAAAAAATATTCACTTTTTTATTGGCATATTTTTACGCGATTTTCCTTGATGTTACCCTTTTCTGGCAAGAGGCCACTCCGAATTGATGAGAATTGTGAAAATCAGTCCAGCGGTTCTAGACTTATCAGCGATCTAACTAACATTTCCTTCTTTGATATATGAGATTGTATATATTTTGCTATAGAGAGATTTTGGATATGAGCATCAATGTAACGGTCAGAAATTACATTTTCGTGTATTTGAGATTTCGCCAGGATTAAAAATATTAGCGGTTTAGTGGAAAATTTCGTATTTTTACAAAACAAGTAAAAAAACATTAAGTTCGGCCGGGCCAAACTTTTAATACCCTCCAACTTAGGGTAAAGGAAACATTAGAAGAAATGTGGCAAAAACCATTAAAATGCCGAATATCGGGAGGTACCGTTATATGGGGGCTCTACCAAATCGTGGACATACACATGCAAGGTTCCGCCAACGGAGCTAGAACCCATTATGACCTACAAATACCATTTTTCAGACAAATCCGTTAAAAACTGTGGCAAAAATAATCAAAATATCAAATATCGGGAGGTACCATTATATGAAGGCTATACCAAAACGTGGACCTATACATGCTATGTTTTGCCACACATACAGGGACCCGTTATGACCTACAAATACCAATTTTCAGAAAATAATGTAGCATAAATCATCAAAATACCGAATATCGGGTGGTACCGTTATATGGGGACTATGCCAGAACGTGGACCGATATCTCATTTTCAATACCAACCATCCTAGACACAATACCAATTGCTCTGCTAAATTTTGGCGCTCTACGTCAAATAATGTGGGCTGTATCGTGATTTCAACAGACAGACAGACAGACGGACAGACAGACAGACGGACATCGTTAAATCGACTTAGAATTTTATGCTGATTATGAATATATATACTTTATGGGGTCTACGACGAATATTTAAGGATGTTACAAACGGAATGACAAAGTTAATATACCCTCCTTTCCAAGGTGGAGGGTATAAAAAAGTTATGGTCAAGTATTTTTTTTCTTTTTTTGGTTCCATTTCATTATTTTGCGATCATAACCAAAAACAATAGGGTTCTATTCTGACACTAACCCCACCTCCATTTTCAATTTTGTGGGAATTGGGCCAAAATTGCGACCGGTAGGTTGATTACAAATTAACATGGACAGACGGACAGACGGACGGACGGACATACATAGATAGATCGACTCAGCTCGGCGAGCTAGGAAGATCCATATATACTTTCCTATGTGGGAAACCAATATTTCGAGGTGTTACATAATTTTTGGCCCAATCAAACTTATAATACCCCCAACACATAGCGTTGTAGGGTATAATCAGTAAAGAAAGTCTTAAAGTCGGGCGGGGCCGACTTTATGATACCCTACACAACTTTGCACATTTAGTGTAGCTTCACATAACAAATAAAAAAAATGATGGGGAATTTGTGAGAATTAAATCATACCAATTACGATTATAAATATAATTCAAAGTCCAAAGGAACAAATGTATATATATATATACTTCTCGAAATGAAGTAGTAACATTTTACTCAAATGTTATGGCTGCAGGTCCTTTGGTATTGAAAATGGCCAAGTAGTTACATGTTTTGGTATAGCCCCATATAACGGTACCTCCCGATATTCGGTATTTTGGTAATTTTAGCGATATTATTCACCGGAATTGTTTCAAATTTCGTATTTGAAGTTCGTAATTAATACTACAGTCTTAGACACAAAATTGTCAGTACAGGTCTACGTCTTCGTATAGCCCCCATATTACGGTACCTCCTGATATTCGGTATTTTGATGATTTTAGCAATTTTGATGATTTTAGCATCGGAAATGTTTCAAATTTAGTATTTGAAGTTCTTAATGGATATGGCAGCCTAAGGCAGAAATTTGTCTGTGCATCTCCACATTTTGGTATACCCCCCATATAATAGTACCTCCCTATATTGATGATTTTAGCTACATCATTCACCGATTTTTTTTTTAAATTTCCCATTTGAATATTGTAATGACTTATGACAGAAGTTGCTTCTGCAGGTCCATGTCATCGTTTATACCATAATATGAGGGCTCCATTTGATATTTTTAAGATTTTAAAAGAATTTTTAACGGATTTTATTTTATTTATTTATTTATTTATTTATTTATTTTTTTTTTTGAAAATTGCCAAATTCGTTCCAAATGGTGGAGGGTATTCAAACGTTTTTAATTGTTTTTAAACTAGCATAAATTAAGAGGCTCTGAAAATATCGGACAGACCGGGTGGTGATTATACGTGTTACATTTTTTTAAGGCCGTATATGCAGGATAACGACGTCCGTCCGTCTGTCGGTCTGTAGAAATCACTCTATCTTCCCAGCAAATTGAACTGGGTTGATAAAATTTAACTAATATGAGTGTTTGTTCTGCAGGACACGTTTGGGTATAGCCCCCATATAATAGTACCTCCCGATATTCGGTATTTTGATGATTTAAGCGGCATTATTCACCAACATTTTTTCAAATTTTGTATTTGCAGTTCATGACGGACACTACAGCTCGTGACGGAAAATTGCCTATGAAGATCCAGGTGTTAGTATAGCCCTCATATAGCTGTACCTACCTAAATTCGGTATTTCTATGATTTTAGCGGTATTATTCATCGGAATTGTTTCAAAATTTCGTATTTGAAGTTGGTAATGGGTACTACTGCCTATTTTCCCTTATCATCTTTAAAAATGTTATCCAGTTTTCGCGTAACTTCTAAAAAATAACACGTTAACAGATTAGTTTTTGTATGACTTCATTTACAAAAAATACAAGACGACACATAATCGATACTAAAATTATGACTGCTCACGTAAGTATGGCTGTTCAAATTGTTGATTTGTGTGGAGTTGCGTTTGACTATAATGTATATATAATGTACTATGTCAAAAAAGAAATCTAGAACGATTACTTTACACAAACGCCCAACATAAACGTACATATATAATGGCAAATAATGCACGTCCGTCTTTCGTCGTGTCCTAACTAATTATGAATAAAATTATGTTTTTCAAAATCAGATATGGTATAAACTAACTCGAGGCTTTTGATTCGAGCTTTTCCTAAACATGATATGTTTAAATTCGAAAAAACACTTCTGCTTACAATTTTACCCCCTCCAAAAAGCAAATAACAAAATTACAAAAATTCACATAATTCTTAATTTATTTACACAATAACAAACTGTTTCACTTAATATGATATTTTAGAACAGAAAAAATACGACAGTGTTTTCGTAAGAAATTGGTATTGAAGAATGATAGATAGGGAAGTGGTAAAAGACTAAAATGTTGATAGAAATAAGTAGCAGAATGAAAGGCGAACGAATGATAAGCAAAAAATAAGATAAGAAATAATGTGATGAGATAAAAAGTACATATTTTGATACAACGGTTTAACATTATACAAGTAATATGGCAAAGGATGTCCTGATGAATGAGTGATCGCGAAAATATCTAAAATACTTCAATGCTCAATTGAGCCAGTTTCAGTTGAGAAAATTCTTCTCGGATGGAATTTAAACAGTTCCTGGAGCGGGTTGCAGATTAACTGAGGCAACTGATTGGGCGTGGCCAGCCAAGGGAGCAACATGTACAGCACCGCGAGTCTTGGCAACAAAAGTGCCGCTATGAGCTGGAACTACAGAAGGAGCCGCAACGACATGTGGGGCAGCAACAACATGTGGAGCGGCAACAACAGCAGGAACGGGACCAGAGACCACTTGAACTGGTCCAGGTCCAGGAACCACATGGGGAGGATGGGCCGCAACTGTAACAGCAGCATGGGGATGAGCACCAAGTACTACTGTGCCGGGTAGGGGTCCACCCACAACAACTGGTCCCCAGGGCAAAACTGAGGAGTTGGCACCCAAAGCTAAAGCGAACAGGACTACGGCAATGACGAACTGGAAGATAATAGATAATGGAGTTACAATTTGAATAGTCTTTTGTTTGATTTATGAAAATATAACGTTGCAGTGGATTATGTTCACCTCCCCTTCCTCCCAATAAGGAGCTCATTTAAATCTGCAAGATCTATACAATATGCCCACAAGTAGTGGATATTATATATTATTGTTATATTATTTCAAATGTAACTTTACTAAAATTGAGCTCGAGGTCTCTTTTAGTAAACTAACATTTGAAGTAATTTAAAATAAAGTTCGAATAAAATAACTAAAAATTAGAATATTATTGTTATATATTAGCTAAGCATTCCGGACTTTGGTTTTGTTCTATACTCTTATAGGTAAAATTTTTCGTTTCGATTTCGATACAAATTGTTTATTCATACATGATGAACGTTGCGAAAAGTTCTCTCTATTTGTTGTGTTTAATTTTTTAGTAGACAAATACTTTTTTTAAGCACCCACTGACTTAGTGTGGTTTTCCAGGATACTTTTTACGGATTTATTCGATTCCTTTACTATAAAGGTTTTAATATAATCTCCAAAAAATCTGAATATGTTTTTTGTTTATATTTACACAATTTGAAATACTTTATTACTTTTATCCTCGATTTACCTTCATGTTTGTTAATTTATTGTATTTATTCTATATTGTCTTAGATGCTTTGACGTTACAAATAACTATGGGAATTTCATTCCAACCACAAACCTTATATATGAGAACAATTCTTAGTTCAACATTTTTTTAATGTTTCATTCTGTTTTATTAAACATTTTCCCCCTCATCACTTCCTTGTAGATAAACTACATGAGCGCAATGCATTTCATTATGTCCAGAATTTACAGAACCGAATGAATTCCAGAACTTATTTCAACAACTTCAATGTCAACCCAAACCAATCTCAACGGTCAACACACCTGAGTGGTTTTTACGTCACATTTAAATCGACAAAGCCATTGGATTTGTTTGTCAGGCCAGCGAACCCGGACAACAAACTATTTCATTGATTTTATTACGTTAACTTACAATAAATGAATGGAGTGTTCTATCGTCATTCCTATTAAAGATTTATCTAAACTATTTGCTGTTTTCTTGCTGCTTTCCATTGACTTGTTTATGATATTAGTAGTTGAGCCCCTTTGATTTTATATGCATTCAAAATTTTAAAAAAGTATATATGTTGGTTTAAAAAAAAAAAATAAAACAAATTCAAAAATTAAACAAGTAAGCAAAGGCTATAGTCGCCCGTGGCCGATCATGTGATTCCCTACAACACTACAATATTTCAAAAGCCCCCTTATGTCCAAATCCTTTTTGGAAGATTTCGCTTTTGAAATTATGTCACCAGTGCCTAATATTTACCCACTCCGTCGTGCTTTTAGTTGTGTGCTCCTTTTTACAGCTAAATATAATCCAATGGTCACCCAGAATGCTACAATTCTTCTCTGTCCTTATCTCTCTTGACATGTCGATTGGCTTCAATTGTGTGATGAGGAATTTTTTTTCTGATTTGGTTTATTTGAACCCCTAAATATTTTGCTATCATCTCCAAAAGCAAGACTCCCCCTTCATCCCCAAATTTGGACTCATCTGTATGATATGCTTGTCTACGATATTTAGCTTTATTCGCCAACGAAATCAGCATAAAAAACCAGAAGTTTGCCTTTTGTGTATTTCAGATATCGCCTGTAAGTATTTTTTTTTTTATATACCCGATATATTTACTATTGGCATCTACCTAACGGTCAGAATTGTCCTGTTCGTCGATTTGTGATTTCGTCGGGATTAAAAATATTCGCTGTTTGATGGAAAATTTTGACTTTAACACAAATGTTATGGTCTATTTCACCCACTAAATATTACCCGAAGACCATAAAACTTGGAAAGATTCTGCCCATCCCTAAGCTCTAGCCCCATGCTAACTTCCGCGTCGATTGCTGTATAATTGCGACCTTTAGAGCAACTGCAAAATTAGAAAATTCAGTTTTTTGGTCCATTTCAACCCCTACATAATATGCGATCATCTCCAAAAGCAATAGGGTTCTATTCTGGCCTAAGCCCCACCTTTATTCTAAATTTCGTGAAGATCGTGAAGATATATATATATATATATATATATATATATATATGGAATACGGAATCGATTTAATTATAATTGCCTCAACCGATTTCAACAAATTTGAAAAAATGTATTTTTGTTCCAAATTTAGTCACTCAAGCCGAATTTCATTGGAATCGGACATAGGTATTGTGACTTGGGCATCAAATATGTGAATTCGGCCAAAATATATTTTGGAGATGTATCCTAATCTGAACCGATTTCTATATAATTTGGCAAATTTATTTTTGGTTAAAATTCCTTTACAACTTTGGAATTTGGAGACTATATCTATAATCGATCAATATATCTGTGCATATAAAAACTAAATTTTGGGAGATACCTGCGACTCTGATGCTATATCCCCAGTTCCAAGTGAAATTTCAAAAATTTATATAGCCTTTGAATTTTGTTTACGGATTACAATATTTTGATGTGCTAAGTCGATCTAGCTATGCCCGCCCGTCCGTCCGTCCAGCGCTCATGGTCGAGGTCCAACGGGAACGGACACCTTTTCTGATAATTAGAGGCTGAAATGGACCAAAAACATAATTTCTCCTGATTTTGCAGTCACTTTACAGTACGCCAATTTGTCGTCATATTCTGCGGGTGAATTTTACGTTTATTTTTATTTATTCTTTATTTTATACCCTACACCTCATAGTGGTATTATGTCTTTGTGCATTTGTTTGTAACATGGAGAAGGAAGCGCGGTAGGTCCATAGTTAGTTTTGAGGATCTCCACTGAATCACTTTCTGAGTTGATTTATGCATGTCAGTCCGCCCATCTGTCCATGTATTCTTGTGAACAAAGTGCAGGTGGCATTTATTATCCGATTGAGATGATATTTGGCCCAAGGACGAACCCTATTGAAATTTGGAGAAAATCGGTTCAGATATAGCTATAGCTTCCATATACATGTTTCATCCGATTTAGGGCTTTAAGTCCCTCACATGCGCAATACGCACTCCACAAGAATGATATTTAGTACCGAACATCAGATACTGCTCGAAAATACCTCTGTCAAATTTTATCGAGATCGGTTCAGATTAGGATATAGCTTGAAAATTATTACACGGGATACTGTTGACTTTCCCTCCAACCCTAGGGATTTATTTGGGATCTGAAGAACTGACAACGCATACTTCTCATCTATCTATATATATAAAATAAGATTGTGTTAGTTGCTACGCTTATAACTCAAGAACCGCTGATCTGATTTTAACGATTCACACAAATTCGAAATTGTCTCTTGGCAGAAAAGGACAAAATAGAAAAAATCGCGTAAAATTGTGAATTTTGAAAATTTTCATTTTGACTTTTGAAGTGTACATTAGTAATGTTTTATTTTGCATGATTTTTTTCCATTTTGACTTACTATTTTGGAATGTACATTTGTAGTGTTTTTTTTTTTTTTTTTTTAATTCTAATATGATGTATAGTCTTTTTGGGTAGTATAAAGCGACGACAATTATGGAGTGGCGGACATGAATAGATGATGCCAAAATAATTTAACGTGGTCAAACCAAAGTTAAAAGATAATTCATTTTTCCAAGCATTTCAAAATTTCTAAAATCGGGGAAAAATAGAGAACATTTTTTTCAGTGGAATAACCTTTCAAAATAATAGTAAAGACCAAACTTCGTAAGGACCTTTAAACATTCGCTGTAAAAAACCAGCGAACAAGTTGAAGATTTTTTTTTCCAATTTGTTTATTAGTTACTATGCTTATAACTCAAGAATGTTTTGAAGGATTTTTACAATTCATACAATTTTGGAATGGAATCTTGGCAAAAAAAAATGAGTAAAATATGCCAATAAAAATAAAAAAGAAAAAATCTTTTGGCGTGAAATTTATTCAATTTAAAAACTACATAGAAGTGTAAATTTTTTATTGTTTTGAATTCTGAATAAATAATATCAAAAAGAAATAGTACGCAATACGATTTTAAATGGCGATCTTTCATGTCTGAAATTGGCATTTAGCTTTCAACTCCAGGATCTACATCGTGCTTCAGCTGGATAATGCGAACACATTTAAACATACAAAAATAAACGACAAAGCGTTATAGGGCTCATTTCAAAACGTGCACCTACCTATTTCTTTCACATGACAATAATCCGTCCAATGAGAACTCAATATGCAAAATTCATTGGGACTGCAATCGGTGAAATGCCGAATATAAAAGCGCAAAAAAGGAGAGGGAAAAGGATTTCTACTCTTTCAGAAATTCTTCCTAAACTTTCACGATACCTTAAATCGCTTTTGCAGTTCAAAATATGGGTCGTAACCCCCGGATAAGGATTCAACCCGATTTCAAGTAAATCTTACATTTTAACCATATTTTCTTACTAATTTCGGTAAATGTTGGTAATTTGGAAAGAAACCACCCTTGCAAAAACTGATCACGTTTTGTATAACCTTTATATTATTTAAGGAACCGGAAATTTGTTTAATCGTCTTTGAATTATACTATGATAAAAGATGCGCAATTTCAATGACAAATATTACATATTACTTTAAAAACAAGTAAAAAAAATAAGTTCAGGTAAGGCAAAGAAAATATTTTTATATAAAAGTATCTGAATTCAAGCGTGTTTCACTTTAAACTTCATATACCAGTAAGACTGTTTGGATAATGCAGTTAACTTATCAAAAAACCATAAAGTGAATGAGGCCGTTATATGGGCCATACGAAAACGGGAACCTCTGTGGACAATTTTATACTTCAAGGATTGTAATCTATCAAACCTTCTAAAATACCAAATTTAAAACAATTATGTGCGTAAATGTGACTAGGATTATCAATATACTCAAAATTGGTAGGTATCGTTATATGTGTTAGACAAATCCGAGAAGAAATGTGGCAAAAATCATCAAAATACCGAATTTCGAATTTCCCCGTTATATGGGCATTATACCAAAACGTGGACCGATAGATCTCATTTTCAATACCAACCATCCTATACACAATACAAATTGTTCTGCTAAATTTTGATGCTATACGTCAAATAATGTGGGCTGTATCGTATTTTAAACAAACAGACATACAGACGGACAAATCGACTTAGAATTTTATGCTGATTATGAATATATATATTTTAGGGGGTCTATGACGAACATTTAGGGATGTAATGAAAAAGTTAATATACCCTCCTTTCCAAGGTGGAGGATATAATAAGCATTAAAGACTAAAATTACGGGGTGGCAACGCGGACCGGGCCAGCTAGTTTTATCCGATTTGGTGTTCGTAATATTCACCACACAACAATGATATTTGGTACAAGATATCTTATAAAGTTTGGAATAGCTCCCATATATATCTTCAACCGATTTTGGGTTAGTTGTGCACTATATGGCCAATATCAGTCCAAAAGTCCTGAATTAAGTCTATCTAACCGAATTCAGTGCGGAAGCTAGTACATCGAATTCGGAGAAAATCGGTTCAGCTATAGCTATAGTTCCCATATATAGATGTTATCCGAATTGGTGTTTAAATCCCCCACATTCGTAATATGCACCTCACAAGAATGATGCTTGGTATCAGATATAGCCCAGACATACCTCTGCAAAATTGTATCAAGATCGGTTCAGATTTGAATATAGCTCCCATATACATCTTTAAACGGATTTTGGGTTATTTGAATCCATTCTAGAAGCAAGTATATCGAATTCGGAGAAAATCGGTTCAGATATAGCTATAGCTTCCATTTCGATCCCATTTGGTGTTAAAGTCCCTCAAATGCGTAATAGGCACTCCACAAAAATAATATTAGGTACCAGATATAAGATACAACCCAGAAATACTTCTGTCAAATTTTATGAAGATCTGTTAAGATTTTGATATAGCTCCCATATATATTCTTATGCACATAATGGCTAATATCAGCCCGATTGGATTGAATTTCTGGACGTATGTTTTCATTTTGTGGAACTCAGCTCCGATATATTTTTTCCTTACTGGTAATTAGGAGGTTTTATTCTACAAATCACTAACTTTTCCCAACAGCCCGAATGTTTTCACCAAATTCGATTTTGGCCCCGAACGAAATGCTTTAGTTTTATTTATCTCAGAATCTTAAAAGTTTGGTTCATGGGGGTATATAACTAAAGAAATATAATCTTTATATGCGATTGTAGAATGCCAGAATTTTATCCAAAATAAATTAAAACCACAATATCTATATTTTTTTAATATTAAAATGCTTTTTATTTTTTATTCATAAAAAAACTTCCTTCAGTGCATAACTTCGTTTAAAAACCAAGTGGGGTTTCTTTTCAGAGAACATAAAGTCAGTATTGTATGCAGAATAGGAAGGAAAGGTGAAAATGATAGATGGCAGGGGGCAGTGACTTAGAAGTGACTATGAAAAATTGTACACTAAGTAAAGTATCACAAGAGAATAGAGAAGATAGATGAGAAATTACAAAGATGATAGAAAGAAATAGTGGTGAAATGAAAAGAGTTGATAGAAATGTTATGGAGTTGTTTTTTAAGGATTTACTAAAATTGTTATCCTCTCGCTTGTTGCGTGTTTTTCATTTAACCAAAAATTCATTGCCGATTCCATTAGATTTTGGGATTTTAGCTATTGAAGAAATTTACAAGGTTCCGGGAGCAGGTTGCAAGTTAGCCTGAACCACAGATTGAGCATGGCCTGGCAGAGGAGCAACATGGACAGCACCACGAGTCTTGGAAACTGAAACGGCACCAGGAGCAGCGACGGCAACGACAGCTGGTACGTGAACTGGGCTGGTGACCACTTGAACTGGGCCGGGTCCAACTACAAGAGGACCGGGATGACCAACAACTACGGCACCTGGCAGGGGACCACCAACGACAACTGGACCAAGGGGATACAGGGAGGCATTAGCACCCAAAGCCAAAGCAAGGACGGCAGCAACAATGGCGAACTGTAAAAAGAGAAAATAGGGAGTAAATTATAAGTAGATAAGGGAATATGGTCGTAATATGTTAAGGGTGGTAAGGGTATATACGTTGTAAACTGATGAGTAAGAAATTTAACTATAAAATGTATTTTGATGATATATCGAATCTGAAGGAGTAAAATATTAGATCCAAACTTCGGTCATTGATAGAAAAGAAATTATATGTAAGATGTTGTCTCCACTCTGCAGGGAAATTAAAGAAGTAAGTTTCTTTTTATTCCCGGCATTAGATGTCTAATTTTGTCTTTGTCTTTGTGCATTTGTTTGTAACTGGAGAAGAAAGCAAGATAGACCCATAGTTACTTTTGAGGATCTTCATAGAATCACTTTCTGAGTCGATTTATGCGTGTCAATCTGTCTGTCCGTCCATGTATTCTTCTGAACAAAATGCAGGTCGCATTTATTATCCGATTAAGATGAAATTTTGCAAACAATACTTGTTTGGCCCAAGGACGAACCCTATTGAAATTGGTCATAATCGGATCAGATTTAGATACAGCTCCCATATATCTTCAACCGATTTCGGGTTAATTGTGCCCCAAATGGCTAATATAAGTCCAAATGACCTGCTATTGCATATACATGTTTCATCCGATTTAGGGGTTTAATTCCCTCTCATGCGTAATATGCACTCCAGAAGAACGATATTTGATACCGGACATTAGATACTGCTCGAAAATACCTCTGTCAAATTTTATTGAGATCAGTTCAGATTAGGATATATTTCTATCCGATGTCAGGTTTTTTTGTGCACCAAATGGATATTGGCTATTACGACTGAATTCGTCCTATAAATCAGTACTTCAAATTTGGTGTAAATCGACTGAGATATAGCTATAGCTCCCATATATATGTTTTATCCGATTTAGGGGTTTAATTCCCTCACATCGCACACCAGAAGAAGGATATTTGGTACCGGACATCAGATACTGCTCGAAAATACCTCTGTCAAATTTTATTCTGATCGGTTCAGATTTGGATATAGCTCCCATATATATCCTCAACCGATTTCGGGTTAATTGTGTACCAAATAGTCAATATCAGTCCAAATGATCTGAATGTTGGCACATCCGACCGAATGCACTTAGATCGAGTTCGGAGGTGAACAACATCGGTCCACTCTTTATGGTACCTCTCCCACAAAAGGTCAAAATCTGGTGTGAAGATGATAAATATCGGACCACTTCTTCTGGTACCTCCTCCACAAAGGGTCAACACTCTAAATAAATATAACTTTTATAAAATTTAAACTAAGAGTCCGATTATCTTCAAATTTTTCACATTTCAATATTTCCAATTATATAAGGTCTGGTATGAAAAATGGATTGAACGGACCACTCCTTCTAGTACCTCCTCCACAACTGGTCAGCATTTGGAATAATCATTAGGCACATAAAACGCGAAATGAGCATCCGATAACTTTCAAACTCGGTACTCCCCAATACTAATGTCAACACAAGATCTGTTGTGAAGATGGAGAATATTATACTACTCCTTCTACTCCCCACAACGGGTCTAAATTTTAAATAATTATAACTCTCACAAAACGCGAACCTTTGGAAAAATGACCTCATCATCAAATAAGTATAACTCTCATAAAACGCGAACTTTTCGAAAAATTATCTCATCTCACTTAAAGTGAAGGAAGTAGTCGATATTAAATCCAAATCTGATACGTTTTAATATTTTTATCAAACTTATGTTAGATACGAAATGGAAAATCTTGGCCCTCTCCTTCGAAAACTCTCCTATGAAGATTTTGAATAATTATAATGCAAGTCAAAATATATTTAAATATCCGAATATTGGCTGAGGGTATAAAACTGTCGGGAATGCCGACTAATTCTATTTAAGTTGTTTCCTTTCAATTTGAGATTAATATGCTATGCTATTCTGCTAATCCGGTTATCGCCTTAGGGGTTTCAACATAGAAAGTATGTCCGATTTTCAATATCGTCTCATAGTATCTCATTCTGAGACTGAAGGCCGGCAGATTTCTGTTACCATAAAAAGTGAGCATGAATGTTTGTCATGTCTTGATACAAGCATCAAATCAGGATATAATATGGCAGAAGAAGTTATTTTGGGACAAGGGTTTAAAATGTGTCCTAATAATCCTTGTATAGAATTCCATTGGCTAGCGTTCTTGACGGTAAGCAGAAGTGTCTCCTTCTTTATACTATCACATATATTCCGCGATGTTCAGTGTCACAATCACAATATACATTTGTTGTTATTTTTAAATTTTCTCGAAATCCTTTGCAGGACACACATTTCAATAACATTATATATATATATGTATATTGATATAACAATTCGATTTGTTTGACCACTTTTATCTATTTTCATTCACACATTTTCTCACCTTCATATTGATTATATTATTTTTTTTTAAGATTATCTGTTTCAACACGTTGAACGTTAGAACGATTTCTACTGATCTACTTGCAGATTGTGCCAACCTTTTATAGTTCAAAGAAAGAATAATTTCCCTCCAGTTCGATATTTTCCTCTTTGTCTATATTGCTATCTCTTTCTTTACACCCTGGTACTGACATAAAAATCTATATATAATTTTTCTTGTCGCCTAACAAGTAATACTCTGTCTTGTCTGCAATATATCAATTTACGTCGTCCACTAACAATAAATTCAATAAATCCATATTAGAATTAAATTCTTCCACCTGGGAGAATACCTGTCCACCTTAACCACATCTTAATCGATGCTAACGACAGCAACAAGCGTAAATGAGTGCAGCGGTTTCCAACAACCATCAGATGTGTGATGTAATAAGAATTATACAACACAGTGGAACATTTCAGGTTTTGCATATATGTTTGAAAGGTCGATTGTTATAATAAGTCTTTAACATATTTTGGTGAACATTGTACTAGGCCCGTGTTGATATCGCTTTTATTTGAAAATAAATAAATTATTTAATTACATCTATTGTTTTAATATAGTCTTCATGTAAACGAAGATATAACTCCAGTACAATTGAAAATTTAAGTTAATATGCTGAAAATTTCTATTTTGAATAATTGAGTCTTTATTGGCATTTTTGACAAGGGTATTTAAGACTGACAACAATTAGAAAAAAATTATTTCATATTTAGCAATGTATAGGTCTACATACGTTCCATTTTACACTGCAATTACTTTTTTTAAAGTTCTACTGCTGGCATTATACCCACAATCTTCGACTTTCGGATAAATCCAGTAAGGAAAGGTCAAAAGTCGGGCGGTGCCGACTTAATGATGCGCTACATCACTATGCATATTTAGTACAGCTACCCGAGCTAAGATATATAAAATCAGTAAAGAAAGTCTTAAAGTCGGGCGGGCCGACTTTATGATACCCTAGACCACTTTGCTAATTTAGTAGAGCTCCGCATAACAATTGAAAGTTTTTATGGGAGAATTCAATCATACACGCTATGATTATAATTATAATTTAAAGTTCAAAGGACTAAATACGCCGAAGCATTTGTATCCTTTAAATTTGGACTTGTATTGCCCATTTGGTGTTCAATTAATTTTAAATCGGATAAAGATATGTATGGGAGATATATCCAAATCGGAACCGATCTCGATAAAATTTTGCAAAGACATGTATTTGATATATTTCCCTGAATATCGTTGTTACGGAGTGCATATTATGGCTGCGGAGGACAAAAATAACAAATCGGATGAACAATATATATGGGAGCTATAGCTATATCTGAACCTATTTCGATCAATTTTGGCATACTTATTTTCGGGCCCAATGTGATGTGATGTATATGCAAAATTCCATACTATTCGGACTGATATTAGACGTTTGGTGCACAATAAAAGGCAAATCGGAAGAAGATATATATGGGAGCTATATCTAAATGTTGACCGATTATCTCCAATTTCAATAGGGTTCGTCCTTGGGCCATACAAATTTTAATTTGAAACATTTCATCTTAATCGAATAGTAAATGCGACCTGCATTGTTGTTACAAAAATTAATGGACAGACGGACAGAAAGACAGACGGACGGACGGACATGCATAAATCGACTCAAAATGTGATCCTATGCTGATCATCAAAAGGAACTATGGGTCTATCTCCTTTCCTTCTCCATGTTACAAACAAATGCACAAAGACATAATACCCTTACCACTATGTGGTGTAGGGTATAAAAAAGCCGCTGAAAGAGATTTTCCTGAAAATTTCCAGATATATTATAACATCGCTAGAAAGTAAAATAGGCTGGAGATTAAATATCAGAATCGGAGAAACCTCCAAAAAATTTACATATTGTATGCAAATATCTTTTGAACGGTCATAGATACCGTCTTCAAATTATTGAATGTGTGTCGAAATTTGGTACAAAAACAAGTAACAAAGTTTCGGTCGGTTTTGCCGACAGATGGTCGTTTATTTAAAAATATTTTGACTTCTTTTATGATTATTCAAATTTCGCAATTTATGACAACTAAAAATATTGAAAATTGTGACCCCTTGTGTGTGAGGTACCATAAGGAGTTTGCAGACATATAGCATCCTAACAACAGATCTTGTGTTGGTGGAAATATTGAGATGTATCAAGTCTGGAATGGAATCAGATGTTGATTTTGCTTTTTATGAGCTTCATGGGTATTTGAGCCTTCACAACAGATCTTTTGTTAGCAAAAATGTTTGTATGTGTAAAATATAAAGTGAACCTGACGCTTATTTCGGATTTTATAAACATTTTGGTTATTCAAAACGTTGACCCTTTGTTGGGGAGATACCAGAAGGAATGGTCCGATCTCTACCGTCATTATAACAGATCATGTGTTGGTAGAAATATTCAGATGTGCCAAGTCTAAATGGAATCGGATGTTAAATTCGCGTTTTATGAGTTTAATGGATATTCAAAATGTCGACCTTTTGTGGGGGAGGTACCAGAAGGAGTGGGCCGATATATTTCGCCTTAATACCAGATCTTAGATTGATTAATACCAGATCTTAGATTGATATTAGGATGTGTGAAATTTGAAGACAATCGGACTCTTACAACACATTTTATAAGAATTGTTATTATTCAAAATTTTGGCCCTTTGTGGGAGAGACACTTGATTGACCGATATTATCCATTTTTGCACCTGACGTAGAACTGACGTAAATATTAGGATTTGCAAAGTTGGGGCAAAATCGGATTATCGTTTCTCTTTTTGTGCAGAATATATATATATATATATATATATATATATATATATATATATATATATATATATATATATATATATATATATATATATATATATATATATATATATATATATATATATATATATATATATATATATATATATATATATATGTATATATATATATATATATATATATTTTTTTTTTTTTTTTTTTTTTTTTTTTGGAAAATTTCTATTATTTGTGGGGGAGGTACCAGATGGAGTGGACCGATACATTCCATCTTAAAACCAGACCTTGGTTTAATATAAATGTTAGAATGTGTGAAATTTTACAACACATTTTATAAGAATTGTAGTTATTCAAAATTTTGATCCTCTGTGGGGGAGGTACTTGATGGAGTGGTCCGATATTGTCCATTTGACTTAGCCCTGACGCAAATATTAGGATTTGCAAAGTTGGAGCAAAATCCGATCATCCTTTCTCTTTCTGTGCAGAAAATGTATTTTTTAACATTTCGACTTTTTATGTGGGTTCTGGTACCTCAGAAGGAGTGGACCGATATTGCCCATCTAAGATCTAAGTTTGACAACAATATTACGATGTACCAACTTTGGATCAAATCGGATACTCTCTTCCAGAGTTATCGTGCGCACCAGCCAGCCAGACAGATGGACAGACGGACATCGCTAGATCGACTCCAAATGTCCTGAATCGGATTTGGTCCAAAGAGATCTAAAACTGTTTTAAAATATGGGAGGCATGTCTGAATTTGAAATCGATTTTCACTAAATTTGACGTAGACATTTTAATTTTTTTTCCAAATAACATTACTATAGAGTGCATGATATTAGTATTATATTAAAACAAGTAAAAAAAAATAAGTTCCGCCGGGCCGAACTTTTAATGCCCTCCACCTTAGGGTAATGGAAACATTAGAACCATTTATGACCCACAAATTCCAATTTTTAGACAAATCCATGAAAAAATGCGGCAAAAGTTATAAAAATACCGAATATCGGGAGGTACCGTTATATGGGGACTATACCAAAACGTGGACCGATATATGTCATTTTCAATACCAACTATCCTAGACACAATACAAATTATTCTGCTAAATTTTGAGGCTCTACGTCAAATAATGTGGCCTGTATCGTGATTTCAACAGACAGACGGACGGACAGACATACAGACAGACGGACATCGTTAAATCGACTTAGAATTCTACGACGAATATTTGAACATGTTACAAAAGGAATGACAAAGTTAATATACCCTCCCTTCTAAGGTGGAGGGTATAAAAATATATCGTGGCCGAGTTCCACAAATTGAAACGTATGTCCCAAAAATTCACTACAATTGGGCCAGATATTAGCCATTATATGCACAATTAACTTGAAATCGGATTAAGTATATATATGGGAGCTATATCCAAATCTGAACCGATCTTGATAAAATTTGGCAGAGGTATTTCTGGCTGTATCTGATATCTGGTACTAAATATAATTTATGTGGATTGGATATTACGAATGTGAGGGACTTAAACATATATTGGGGAGCTAAAGCTCCCCTGCTTGCTTCCAGACTGAATTCTGTCGGAGGTGTCAAAATTTAGATCACTTGAACTGATATTGGCCATTTAGTGCACAATTAACCCGAAATCGGTGGAAAATATAAATGGGAGATATATCTAAATTTGAACCGATCCTCACCAATTTCAATATGTATTCTCGTGAACAAAATGCAGGCCGCATTTATTATCCGATTGATATGAAATTTTCCAAACGGTATTTGTTTGACCCAAAGACGAACCCTATTGAAAGGGGAGATAATCTGTACAAAATTTGTATATAGCTTCCATACATATTTTCGTCCGATTTGCCTTTTACTGTGCACCGAACGTGTAATATCAGCACAAATAGTATGGACGTTTGCACATACGACCCAATTAGGCCTGAAAAAAGTGAAATAGCACCCGATTTGTTATTTTTGTCCTCCACAGCCGTAATATACACTCTGTAAAAACGATATTTGGTGAAAAATATATCAAATACAGCTCAGAAATAACTTTGCTGAATTTTATCAAGAACGGTTCAGATTTGGATATAGCTCTCATATATATCTTCGTCCGATTTGCCTTTTATTGTGTCCCAAACGTATAATATTATCCCAAATGGGATGGACCAAATTGAGCCCAGAAAAAAAATTTGGTGAAAATCGGTTTAGATATAGCTATAGCTCCCATATATATTTTTGCATCCGAGTTATGTTTTTCTTCCACAGCCGTAATATGCCCTCCGTAACAACGATATTCGGGGAAATATATGAAATATAACTCGGAAATACTTTTGCCAAAT